TCATTGCCCCCCATCTGGCGATCCCTTCGTCCAGTTGACACTATAATGGTGGAGGCTGCCGCAGATGCTATGGGCAATGGCCGTACATTTGCCATTGGCGGCTACATTGCTTTACCGGCTGGAGAATTCTGGTTCTCTGAGAGATTTACTGTGGAGGACTTTGCATTTGCAGAGCTTCCTCTTAAGTCCGAGGCGCACAAGGACATTACTTGTTATGAATGCCTGGGTCAGATTGCATTAGTTTGGCTTTTGAGTGCAGTTCACCCAGGATGCAGGCTTTCTGTTCGCATGCATTCCTGGTGTGACAACAGTGGTGCTGAGGCCACAGCAAACAAACTGTTTACGACTGCATGGCCTCTTGCTGCATTTGTGCAGCGACTAGCCATTCTGAGTAGCTTTACTGGCGTGCATCTTGATGTGCATCACATTGCAGGTCCTAAGAATGTTGAAGCGGACTTTTTGAGCCGTTGGCTTCCTCCTGCTCCATTGCCGGATAGATGGAGCATGTCGCGTCGTCGACGTATTCCTTTAACCTCTTTATGGACGGCATCGCCTTCCATTTCTCTTTCTCCGGAGGGCTGGAAGCCTCCTTTTCGGGTTCCGAGTGTTTCTCCATTGGGAGCAGCACTCTAATCACCTTGTCGCACGTTTTTCATTTGGTGGAATTGATGCGCGACTTCGGTTCTCTGGCAGTTTGCATTTGGGGGAAAACATGCAGATCAGTTTCACTGCAAGGTCCATTCCTTGCCCGTACAAACGATCTGCATTCCCGCCAGAGAACAAAAGGAGCGAGTGTTGAGCGACTGCATCAATTCCATTTATATATTCTTTTGAATATTTCATTTCGCTTTATATGTATTTCCATTACATATAAAGCTGCAAATAGGAAGCAGCTGCGAATACATTAACCGAACGGTATGTGTGCTTGCTCACGAGTGTTTGGTAATGTTTTGCATGCTTGCTGCATTTCATGACATTCCATGTTCATTGCAGCAAGCAGGCTCGCAGCTGCCAGCTCGCCTGCATCGCAGGCAAAAATTTTGTCCCACCCACCTCTTCCCTTTTGTTGGGGAGTGCATTGCTGGCATCTGCATTCTGGTGGCGGTTTTTCTTGCTTGCATTTCTGTTGATGTCTGCATCAACATCAGGCGAAACTTCTTGGCCATCTTCTAAGAAGACTGACCCTTCTGCATTCCTTCATCGGTGACAGGTCGGTGCCTTTTGATGCACCTCGATCTCACCGAATGGGGGAAAACATGCAGATCAGTTTCACTGCAAGGTCCATTCCTTGCCCGTACAAACGATCTGCATTCCCGCCAGAGAACAAAAGGAGCGAGTGTTGAGCGACTGCATCAATTCCATTTATATATTCTTTTGAATATTTCATTTCGCTTTATATGTATTTCCATTACATATAAAGCTGCAAATAGGAAGCAGCTGCGAATACATTAACCGAACGAAACGGTCCTGCCGGCAGCACATGTAAGTCTTTTCGGGATCAATCCATGTTGGGAGGCCCCCAAAGAAAAGGATGACGTGAAAGAGGCGACGACCGAGGCACTTTCAGGGAGCCTGTTCTTGCTGGTGAGGGCTTCGCAGTTCTAGCAAGCTTCGATGAGGCAGGGTGAAGGCTCGCTGACACTGCATTTTTGAGAATGTGCCCCTTGCTGCAGGTTTCGCGAAACAAGGCAGTGGACGAGGTGCTTTGCGATGTCTCTTGCTTTGGTGGTTTTTGTCTTTTCGGTGTGGTTCAGACGAATTTCGATGAGCTTGAGGGGTTGCTTATGCAGGCTGCCTCAGCACAGACCGCTGGCCCGGTCGAAGATGCCAAGCAGGCTGTGCCTCCGAGGGTGTTGTTGCTTGCTTGCCGTGCTTGTTGTGGGCTGCGTCTGAGCTGGGTTCCCAATGGTCCCCGGTCGCCGCAGGACTGGCGGCTGACGCGGGAGCGGTCGCTGCCGGAAGACACGGGGATCGGGATGTTGTTGAGGCCAAAAGGGGTTTGGGCCTGGGCCCTGGGGCGGCGAGCCGGTCGTGCGACGATGCGTTGCTGCGGCTGGGGCCGCGGCTCCTCGTCGGTGTCGCTGAGCGGGAAGACGTACCTGGGGTCGCCGCGCGGGCTGCTGCCGGCGCTGCTCCTGGATGAAGAAGTGGTCGATGGCGCGATTCCTGCATCCCGTTCAGCGTTGCAAGGTCCGTGGTTTGGCTCGGCCGCGAGGCGTCGCTGTCCGTGCCGCCGTCAGTGGCAGCCCCCCAGCCCGTGAGGGCGGAGGCCGCGTTCAAGCCTCCCTCGATGGCCCACGCGGTTCCGTGCAGCGGCCACCGCCAATCCGCCGCTCGCCGCGCCCACGGCGCCAGCAGTCGCCAGGGCTCCCTCGCCCAGGAGCGCCAGAGCTCCTCCGCCCGCTTCCGCTGCCGCTGCGGCCTCCGCCGCGCCCGCCGCGGCTTCAGCCGCCGTGGCGAAGCCTTCGGAGGCCTCCGCCTCGGCCAGTTGCTGCGAGGCAAACGCCTCGATGTCTTGAGCCGCCGTGCGCTCCACCTCTGCGGCTCTTTGGCCCGCTCTCTCGAGCAGGGGCTCGACCTCGCTCAACCTCCCGATGATGTTGGGCGGGGGAACCTCGGTCCGGCGGCGGTGCCAAACCGGGCGGCCTTCTGGCCAATCGCCTCCGCCTCTGAGAGCCAGCAGCGTTTGGTTCTCTGTGACGCTTCTCGTCGCAGCTAGCAGCGCCTCCAGCGATGATCGCCTCCGCCGCCTGGATGCCCGACTCCCTCATCCTGCCACCTAGGGTCGGGGGCCTCGGTGGATTGAGCCCGTCGTTGCGCAGGGCCTGGCCGGGATCCATGCCCCCTCCGTCGGAGTGGGGCAGGAAGGAGGGCCTGGTGAATTCTCTGGGGGGCCTTGGGAAGGGTACACCATCGTAGCCTTCGTCGGCCGTTTCGAAGGCAAGTGCCGGGTTGATGGCCGTGTGGGGCAGCGGCGCGTCGGAGATGGGCTCCGGCGCATTGGGGTAATCGTCTAACCAGAAGTGACTGGACGTGTAGATGCTGGCCTTGCGGTTAATGTCGAGGGGCTCGCCCAAAGTGTGCAAAATAGCCCAGAACCTGACCGAAGCTGGGCTTGATTCGGAAGCCGTTGCGTCTACGCTCCTCCATTTACAAGGGTCTTGCGTTTGCTTTCTACATGAGGCCGCCATAGACCTGAGAGTCGTTGGTGTTTCTACCAGCGGCCACGTCCCGCGCCATCCTGTGAACGCCCTGCCGCTCCGCCGGCGCGTAGCGGAGCTGGGGGATCCGCCGGTTGACCGCCTCCGTCATCCGGCCGAGCTCGTCGGCGTAGGTCTCGCCCTCTTGCCGCAACCGGCGGTTGGAGAGCCACTCGTTGAAGGCCTGCGCCTCGAAGCACCTCGGCTCGAGTTTTGTTTGTAGTGTTTGGGGAGGGGTAGCTTGCAGTTCCTTGCGCTGGTGACTGGGCGCACCCGGCTAGTGCAAGACGGTGCTCAGGCTGACCTGCAGCACGCATAGAGGTGGGAGCGCCATAGGATACCTCAGCCATTGCTTTGCCTCTGAGGATCCTTTTTCCATATTGCAGATTTGGTGTAGCCGTGCACTTGGGAAACACAACAATTTCCGGCTCTGCATCTTCTCTGCGAATGGTTTTTCTTTTGCTGCTGATTTGTGGTCTTATTGGTGTTTTTTCTGCGACCAATCAGACAGCATTGCTCCTGGACGCTGCTGCTGAACCTGAGCAAGAATGGACGAAGCATACAATTTTCTGCGGGAGCCCTGGCCAGTGCTGGCAAACGGAAGAGCTGAAGAGCGGCGTTGCCGCACGCCCATTCTGGAGCGACGGCCCTCCGAGGCGCTGGATCATGGACAGCTTGCGTTTTACCTGCGTTTTCGATGCATTCCAAAGTGGGCAGTTACAGATGCTGGCATTATGGCTTATTTCAGACAGTATCCTAATCCTGACCCCAAAGCCAGAAGTGAAATCTTTACACAGCTGGAGCGTGAGACTGTTGAGCGCGACATGGTCCAGACCCTGGCCTTGTTTCATTTTCTTCTGGAGGGGGATCACAGAGAGCAATTTTATGAAGACGTCTACGAGCTTTTGGCGCGGCAGATTCGAAGCATGCAGAGACCAGTTCCGCTTGCTGACTTGTTGCATGAGCTACCACAGGACGCAGAAACAGAAGACAGTACATCACCCACGATCCTGGATACCGATGACTCGGGCACTGATGCCGAATTTTCGTGCAGCTGACAAGCGCCGCGGCCTCACTGTCAGCATGCGAACCTGTCTTGGCAAATTTTGCTTTCGTTGGATTGCTGGAATAGGTGTACTGGGTCTGCTGCCTAGGTCTCCTGCTGGCTTTGGTTGTAGGCGTAACCCTCAGTCAACGTGCTGTCCATTCACTTGTAGAACTGCAAGCGTCCCCACGGTGGAGACGCAGCAAAGGCGCTGCGCTGGACCCAAATCTAGGATGCACAGGTGCGAGCGTGAATCACACAAGCACGCACCTGCAAAGAGCTGCCCTGGTCTCAAGTCCAGGGGTGGCGGGAGTACTTCGCCGAGTTATTTCAGGCGACTCCTCATGATGATGCTACTGCAGAGCAACTATCTTCCCGTCACAGGTGCGCGAGTTGACAGCCTTCCCACGGCGCTGTCTGGAGTACAGTCAGGACCTCAACACAGTAATGTACTCGATCATAGTGCGGTTCCTGGTTGTGCGAAGCGTAGTGGGGTTTTTGATACTTCTGGCCCTTACCTTGGAGCTGTTCGTAAACGCGCATACAAGCGTGCGTGTGGCAGGGCATTGCTTCGAGGTGGAACGTACTACAGAGGCCAATGGCACACTGCTAGCTCCTTGCAGGCACAGCGCGTGCAAGCAACAGAGGAAGTCCCAGAATGTGATAGGCGACATCGTGGAGTGGTGGGCGGGCGTTCTCGCCTGTCGCCACGGCTCTTCGTCCTCACATGGAATGCTGGAGGCTTGAGTCTTGCCATGTTCGATGAGTTAGTCCTGCTGCTAGACACGCCTGCCTATGAGCATGTTTCAGCTGTCATCGTACAAGAAACACATTGGAAGCATGAGTCTACCTGGAGGGCATCGGGCTGGAGTTGCGTGCATTCTGGCTGCGAGTCTGAGTCCTACACGGGCATCCTGGTCATGGTCAGGGGTAAGCTTGCGTCGCATGAACTTATCAGGTACGATGTGGTGGCACCGGGGAGAGTCCTACATGTGCGAGTCCCGTTCGGACCTCATGAACATGATCGCTCGCTCGACCTGATTGGCATTTACCAGTACCCGTGGGACACTCGAAAACCCAGAGCGCAACTGCTTGAGGCGCGCGCGGGCATCTGGAAGAAGCTGGATGTTGTGCTGCGGCGCTTGCCTCGCCGAAACCTCCTGTTTGTCTGTGGCGACTGCAATGTGCAACTGCCGGCTCAGGACAGGCATGTGGGCACAGGAGTCGTATTGCGAGATTCTGAACGCCAGCAGGCCACTGACTCTTCAGCACTACTTAAGGTCGTCATGACTCATGATCTCTGTGCATTAAACACATGGCGGGGACCCAAGAAACAGGCTCACACCTACAGCATGGGGGATGCTCGGACCTTGATTGACTTTGTCTTTGTGCGTGTGTCGGATGCTGATAAGATCGCTAAAGGCTGCCTTCCATTACAGGAATTTCCTATTGCAGACTGGCGCTTAGATGGCAAGCATCGGGCTATCATTGGCAGCCTCTCCACCCGCTGGCAGGTCAGGGCCTGTCGAAGACGTGGGCCAAGCTACAATCAGGAGGCCCTCCTGTCGGCCTATCAGCAGGATCCCACTCTGTCGGAGGTGTTTAGTCGATTCGAGACATTGATGACGGGGACGCCGGGGGATGCTGAATCGCTTTCAAACTGTCTGCTGCAGGCGTGTCAACAGGTGTATCCGATGAAGTCCCAGGCCGAGGCAGGACAACCAGAGGACCGCATGCAGCTTGTAAGGGGGCCCATTGCTACTATGTGGCAAACCTGGCGAGAAATGCGTGCTGTTCGAGCTGTCACGCTACGCTCCATTGTGAATGCCTGGAGACTCAGAGTCCAATTACGGGCACAAAAGAAGGTAGTGGAGAAAGCCAGCCGGGCGCAGCGCAATCAGCGTGTGCACGGCCTGCTTGCACAGGCTGAGGAGGATGATCGGAATCACAACGCACGGGGCCTTTACTCAATTGTTCGAAAGCTTGCTCCGAAGCAGAGATACCGACCACTGCAGGTCAAAACTGAAAAAGGCATATGCTTGTCCGGACGTGAGGAGGTTGCAGAGCTCAAGAATTTCTTTGATGGGGTTTTCTGTGGCACTCCGGAGGTCTCTGTTAGCCCATGGAACAAGCCCTACTGCCCTGATGTGGAGGCCATTGCTACCGCTCTCCGAAAACTGCCTGCACACAAAGCTGTGCCACAATGCTGTGCGCCGTCCCTTGTGTGGAAGGCATGTGCTACTGCCCTGGCGCCATACATCCACGCTACGTTTGAGGACATGAGTGAAATGCACACACCCATGGTGCCCAACCGGTGGAAGGACGGATGGATGGTGCTGGCTCCGAAGGCTGGCAAGCCGCTTTGCCGAGCATGTGATGTCAGGCCCTTAGCACTGCAGGATCCGGGTGGCAAAGCAGCTATCCGTACTGTAAAGGATGCCATTCAGCCCTACGTCGATGAGTACATGAAGTTCATACCCCAGTATGCATATTTGCGGAATCGGGATGGACAACTTGCCATACTTCGTGCATGCGCGCATCTACGTCAGGTTCGTGACATGGTTGCGGGGCAGAAGTACACAGTACACAACTATCGTGATGGGCATCGACGGCTGGCCCTTTGTGGTGGTTTGGCCCTAAGCCTGGATCTGCGCATGGCGTTTGATGTGTTACCGCGTAGGTTGGTGGAGCGATCATTGAGAGACGCGAAAATACCGGAAGGCCTCATTTCACTGATCATGGCTTGGCTGGTTGGTTCATCGTATCATATCACACATGCAGGGGATGCCTTCACACTCACCCCAACGAGGGGTATCAGGCAGGGGTGTGTCCTTTCACCGTTGATCTGGACATGTGTCACGGGAACCATGGTGAGGGACCTACTCTCGCGGGGTATTTCCATTGCAGACTTGGACCTTTACGCGGACGATTTCCTGCACCTGGAAACCCTTCATGACTACGAGGCCTTTGAGCATGCGCTTAGGCGGATGGGTGTTATCATCCAATACTTGCAGGACCAGGGCTTACAAGTCAGTATGGACAAAACCGTCGTACTCATGAGGATTGCGGGAACTCGATCATCCATGGCTATGGCGAAGCATACCTACAAGCGCAAGGATCGTGAGGGCAATGAACAATTGTACATCAAAATCCCGACTGAGCATGCCACCCTCCATTTGCCGGTTGTTAAGGAGCACAAATACATGGGTATCATGGCGACTTACTACGGATTCGAGGACTGCACTCTCTCGCATCGTATTTCTGCTGCTAAGAATGCGTACACGCGCCTCAAGCCGTTTCTACGCAGTCGGAAACGATTGTCGCTACCAGGGAGACTTCGGATGTGGTGGACATGTGTGTGGTCGGCGCTGCGCTATGCGCTTCCCAGTATCGGGGTCACGTCCTCGGGCGCCACTACGCTGCGGGGGCTCATTGCTACACACATGCGTGCGCTTGCGGTGTCACCCAGGCACATCACTGGTGAGAATACGGACACTCTGTTTGCCAGGCTAGGAGTTGATGATCCAGTTCACATGATTACAGCTCTTGCGCGCACGCAATGTGCCAGACTTCAGAAGCTTTATGGGCAGGTGGACCAAGGTGCAGTTAGCAAGGACATGGTCGCGCAGGCGGAGTGGTCTCTTGAGCAGTGGGTGCAACATGCGAACAGCGACACCAGGTCGCACATGCGATTGAAGCGATTGAGTGATGTTGGTGAGGGCGTGCCGTGCCCTCATTGTGGCCTCTACTTCATCTCAGAGCTTGCTGTCACCACTCATATTGGACACCAGCATGCGGATCTGCATCGACAGGTTCGGGAGGAAGTGAGTGAGATGCAGGCTTCGGACATGGGCGTTGATGGCATGCCTACATGTAGATTTTGTCTGAAAAAGTTCCATGGATGGCAGAATCTTAAAAGACATGTCAAACTTGGGCGGTGTCCAGCGATGCATGGTCGGACTGCAGCGGGTGCCTCAGCTGTAGCAGTGGTGGACACAGTGGAGGATGCCAAGCCGTTAAACAGCATACGCTGCTGCAGCGCCTTGTGGATCAGCAGCTGCAACACGAACTGGTAACAACAGAAGTGCGACCGCAGATATTGCAAAACTGTGGGCTGTGCGGCCAGTGGATTGCTGATACTAGACAGGTCAAGCAACACATCAGACAGAGTCACCGGGACATATGGAATCAGTTTCATGCGGAGATTGATGTACTTTGTGCTGCATTTGGTCGTTCCATCACTGTACCGTGTGGTTACTGTGGTACGGACAAGATCAATTCCTCTAACCGGCCTAGACATGCTAAGCTTTGTGGTGTGCTCTTTCAAACCTTGCTAGTGCTTCGCGTTGCGCAGAACGAGGGCCATGTCAGCACAGGAGATGGATTTCTTTCGACACCTCCTCCCCAACGGGGGCGGCGGGGGCACTCTACAAACGGAAGCCAGCGAGCCTGTGGGAACGGAAGGAGTCCCCAAACGGACAACACCATTGGCGCGTCCGCAGAGACAAGCGAAGTGGCAGAAACAGGGAGCGGGCAAAGGTCAGGGGTTCGGTCGAGGCAACGGGCGACAGCAGGGGCGAAGAGCACAACAAGCACAACGGTCGGCTCCTTCTTCCGAGCAGTCCACCGAGGACCAGGAGGACTACCCCCCCATGTAATGGAGTTGCTACGGGCTACAGCCAGGTTGGCCCTCCGATTGGAGGATCAACAATGCTTGGATCGCCTGGACAAAGCCTTTCTGATCCACATGCGCACGCAGGTGCCGGAGTGCATGCTGGCCGACATGTTCAAGATCAGCGAAACATGGAAGGAGGCCAGGGCTGCGGTACCGCCCAAGGTGGAATCATCCTTGCGGGTGATCCTGTTCAAGAGCTTCATGGAGGAGTTCATGTCACGACTACAGAAAATCGAACATACGGAGGTGATGAAAGGACTGATTGCACAGGGATGGTTCATCCAGGAGGGGTCGGAGTACAAATGGAAATACCTGATGTGGGACACAACGCAACAGAAAGATGTGCCTCATCCCACGCTGGAGCCCATGCCACATGCTCAGGTCGTGCAGGCGGTACAGACGCTACTCGATCATGCGTCGGATCTGACGTTGCACCGCTACCATGCGACAAGGCCGCTCGTGGAAACCTTCAAGGGGCCATCGGTGTGCTTCATGTTGGAGATCAGTCTGCGAGGAGCGCACGCACAAAAGATGTACCAGGCGCTGTCGAGCATGGCGCAGTGCGCGGCAATGAAGCTCATGGGAGCCAATCTCGTGCGGGAGCGCATCAAGCGGAGCCCATTGGCGGTCCTGATTCAGAAACTGCTTCAACAGTGATTGCAGGCCTTCAGCTGGTGAACAATGGCAATTATTGCTATCAGCATGCTTTGGTGCTTTCCTACATGTGGGCCTCCCATTGTGCTGCAGGTTGTACTTTGCCACTTCTGGATGTTCCATCGGGTTTCCATGGCAGGCTACAGCCAGTGCTCGAGTTTCTGATGAGAGGTGTGCGGCGTATCATTCTGAACAGGTGTTTGATGTGGACTTCATTGATACAGCAGTGGCGCCAACCTCAGAGACAGCATGATATTGGTGAGTTCATGACACATGTTATGCAGCAGGCTCGGCCTGATTCCATGCAGGGCGCTTGGCATATGATTACGGCGGCTGGGGAGGTGCGTGATGTTGGTGATTTCCATGGGCCGGTGATGGTGCACTTGGACAATACAAACAGTATGCATCAGACTACCCTGCAGGCGCTGATTGATCGCTGGTCAGATGCTGGGGAAGGCATGCGGCGACTTATTTTTGAGGCTCCGTCCCTACTGTGCGTCCAGATATTGAGATTTCATGGTCAACGCCGGATTCGCAAACTCATGCATCAGGTTATGCTGGGGAATGGCAGGGTCCACATACCATGTCGGGAGCGACCAGGCACAGCACATTCTACACACCATTGCTATCGTGTGGTTGCTATTTCTGTGCACCTGGGCAACACACCGTCCACAGGTCATTATCGTGCGGTACTGATGGCTCAGGGCTCATCTGAGGACGCACTAGGAACTGGCGAGCATGCGGCTGATACGACTTACATCTACAACGGTGCATTGTACACTGATGATGGTTGCGATGCTGCTCCAGTTCTTGGGGGGGACGTGCATGCCATTTCGTGCAACATGTATCTCTTATGGTGCATCCGATTGGAGTGATTCTGCATACAACTTTCTGCGAGCTTTTACTGTGCAGTGGGAGCTTTGGCAGTGCAGTGCAAATTTCCTTTATGCCATTTCAACTTCTGAGTGAGTGCTGTCCTGACTGACGTGATGCATCATGTAGTGCTGCATGTGCTTAGCTGTGGCATGTCAGTTTTTGGATTAGTTACTTTTTCACACCTCTGTAGTACGTTCCAGCCTGCTTGGCATTCGTGCCGAGGCTTGGAATCTGCTTGTGGTACGCCGCGGGATTTCTGCTAGAACCGCAACCTTGAGTTGCCGGTATGGCCACTGCGCTATACTGTAAATTATCTCGCTAGCTGTGCTCACTCACAGTGCGTCTGAAAGAAAGGCCTGCGCCTCGACCAGCTGCTGGTGCCGCCGGCGCAGCAGGGGATTGAGGTTATAGCTGGGATACATCCGGCTGAACTGCCGCAGCATTTGCGGTTCGTTGCGCCTCTCGAGGGGCATCATCGTTCCTTTTACAGTTCGTGAGTGTTTCGTGCGAGCAGCTCCATGTACCTGTCCTGGCGCTGCATGTACCTTAGGGCACGCTCTTGCGCAGGCGTCATCCTGACGGGCTCCGCGGGGGGCTCGGGCTGGAGCTCCGGCTTCGGAGGAATTGCTGGCGTTGGAGGAATATCGGGGGGAGCACGCTCGGGAGCTTGTGCTGGGACGGCCTCTTCGGCGGGCACCGTCCTCGGCGGCTTCGGTTTGTTTTTGGAGCCGGGCGGGCGGCCTCGGCGCTTTGGGGCTGGGGGCTCGGCGGGGATCGGCGGCTCCGGCACGGGTTGCGGAGGAGGCTGCTCTGCAGCTGCCGCAGGCTCTGGCGCAGGCTCAGCCAGAGGCTCCAGAGCCACGGGGGGTTCCGCATTCTCGGCCATTTCCTAGATTAAACATATTAATTCTCGTAATCCAGAAAAATCGCAAAAGAAACGCTGGTCCCGCGGGTATTAACCGTGTTGCCGTCGACGTCTGTCAATTTAAACCGCAGGGTGCGCAGGGTAATGGGCCCGTGGAGTTTCACGAAATGGCCCTCGTTTGTTCGGGTGGACATCACAAAACCAAGGCCAGCGTTAATAATGCATTTGCAAAGGATATCATTGCCCAGAGGCCCCTTGATATCCGCCCCGGTGGCCAAGGTGGCGCAGCGCAGGAATAGCTCGCTGTAGGGATTCATGGTGACAAAGGTGAAGATCTGCAGCGCCCCATCGATGAAGCTGGGGCCTAGCAAGTGGTTGATGGAGAGCGGGCGGCTGGGCGTGGCGCCGGCGGGATAAGAACCGGTGCCGGGGAAGAGGCTCCGGATCTGCTGGTCGTTCAAAATGCGGCGGTTGCCGTCGTAGGCCACGCCTATTTCATTCGTCTGCTCCACATAGGTGGCGCTCGCGAAGTTGCTGCTGATCCAGGCGGCCAGTCGCGACCCCGTGTAGGCCCCGATGGGGAGCACCGCCCAGTTGAGGGTTTGCAGCGCTTCGTCGATCCAGTACAAGTACTGTCCCCGATCCGTGGAGAGAAAGGCATCCGCCACCCTGAACTTGAAGACGGAGAGCTTGGCTCCCGTTTGCAGGTGGAGGGTCTCCCCGATGTCAAATTCGAAGCTGGAGTCGTCCCCGGCGGTTCTCTTGCGACTATCGACATAGATCGTTGTCGACATCCTTTTCTTACGTCGCCAGAAGCTCCGCGCCGTCGAGGCGTCGGACTCGTTGCTGATCTGCCGCGCCCGCTCCGGGTAGGGCAGCCGCCGCGGGTCATACACGCCGCTGCTGCTGCAGCACCTGATGTTGTGGCACTCGCTCTCGCACAGCGGGCTGCCCCCCAGCAGTTTGCCCACCACTTGGCTCAGGATCGTCCCCATTTTCGATCACGAAGCGTTCCTCCCAGCGCTTGTAGAACATTTCGGCTCGGGGCTTCAGGTAGTGGATGAAGAGGAAGCTGTAGGGCTCCCTCGTCGCTTCTTCGTAGATGGCCTGCAGCTCCTTTTTCGGCAGCAGGGCCGTGAGCTCCTCCAGGACGGCTTCCAGCTCCAGCTGGTTGCGGAGGCGCCAGACGCACATGAACTGCATGTTCACCCGCACGGCGGCGCTGATGAGCCGCAGCTTCTGGGAGGAGACCCAGGTCGAGATCTGCATGTGGCGGCCGCGGATGAAGAGCGTGTCCAGGGCCCCGTCGCCGGTGCGGCGGTGGAGCTCCGGTTGGTCCGCGAAGTCGTCGATCACGATCAGGATCTGGTAGAGCTTCTTGAAGCCCAGCTCCTTCGTGGTTCGGGTGATCTTCTTCTGCTGCTGGATGATGGTGCGCAGGGCCGCCTCGTCCCACTTGTCGAAATAAACCTGCTCCCGGTCCGTGTTGACGCCCATGTCGTGCTCGATGAAATGCTTGACGGGCTTCCAGGCATCGTCGATGTCAATGCTCGGAGACATGATAATCACTCTTTCAAAAACGGATTCACCGCTGGCCGTGCGGTACTGGTCCAGGATGGCTGAGATCAGAGCCACCGTCTTCCCCGATTTCGAGGGCCCGAGGAAGATGCCCGTGCACGGCACGCGGGGGACGATCGGGTCGCGAGGCTGTTTTGAGGTGTACTCGGCGGTCGGGAAGAGCTTCACCTTTCCCATTTACAGGCTCTCCGCGATCTCCTGGCAAAGTCGGGGCGGCAGGGAGTACAGCTGGTCCCGGGTCTGGCCGGGCCAGTGCCGGCTGCCCTGCCTCTGGGCGGTTTCGGGGTGCCGGCCGTCCCGGAAAGCTTCGCAGCGGCCGTGCTTGGAGCAGACCGCTTGGCTGGGAACCCAAGGCAGGTTGTTCCAGATTCGGGTGGTCTTCTGGTACCGAAAGCCGTACATGCAGTAGGACACGTCGTCGTAAGGCAGCGCCTGCATGTAGGGCCGACTTTTGAGCAGGCCCGTTTGCGGGTTCTCCACGGCCCACCACCGAGGTCGGGGTACCCGATGATCTCGATGGCTTCAGGACCAGCCGGTCGCCGTCCTCCAGCCGTCGGGGTCGTCGGGTCAGGGCCCTGGAGAACTCCGTGCAGACGGGGGAGACCCAGACAAAATCGAAGTGCTCGGGCGGGTAGGTCCTGTAGTCCCACTCCTGAATGTCGGCGCAGATGTTGGGCCGAGTCGTCGAGTCCGTGTCAAGACTCGTTACCTCCCACCCAAGGGCCTCGAAGGCACGGCCCGCCGACTTGGTGCCGCTGAACAACTCCAACAGACGCATTTTCGTGTGGCGATGACAAAAGCCACAGGCCGACAAAGACGCCCGCCAGGGCGACGGCCGCAGATTCGTTCGGGCGACGGCATTTTTTATGTTACATGTATAAAGGAGCAGCATGGAGCCGCAAAAGCAAGCCACCTGCGAATCGGCAATTCAGCTCGGCGATCTGACGATCAATGCGAAGGGCGGCAAGTACGTCCCCCTGCGCCGGAACGGCGGTCCGCCGGTGTGGCAGTCGGCGGAGTGGCAGAAGATCATCTGGCACCCGGCCGCCTTCAACGACCCGAGTGCCAAGCGCGTGGGTCTGTGCCTGGAGCCCGACGAGGCCTCCAAGGCGCAGCTCCAGGAGATCGAGCAGCACCTCGTCAGGGCCTTGACGGCGCTGTCGCTTTCTGAGCCGAAGGTCTTCGGCAAGTTTCTGACCGAGACGGACGTGAAGGACCGCTTCCAATCGTGCCTGAAGACGAGCCCGCGGGGCGGCTCGTACCTCAAGCTGAAGATGGACTGGGGGCGAGTCCGCATCTGGGGGCCCAACCAGGAGGAGCTGGCGGAGCCCGGCGACCTCGCCGGCAGGGGAGTGCAGGGTGCGGTGCGAGCAGCGCCAGGTGTGGGTGATGTCCAACCAGTGCGGCCTACTGCTCGAGGTGACCGATCTGCAGCTCAAAGCCTACGAGGCCGCCGGTCCCGTTTGCCCCTTCTTCTAGAGCACGCTCAGGAGCTCGCTGCTGGTGGCCCGGCTGGTGCCGACGTAGAGGTGCCTGAGAGTGAAGTGCAGGCTCTCGGTGTCGCAGAAGACCCGCCCCTCGAGCGTCAGGCCCTGGCAGGAGGCGTAGGTGATGGCGTGGCACAGCCGGGTGTGCTTCAGGAGGGCGGCGTGGGTGAAGGATTCGCCGCCATCCAACACGATTT